GGGTCCGCGCAGGGAAAGTCGTTATGAGTGGCCACCCCCAATGATGGACTATGAATTGGAGGAGGAGGGAGCCATGGGTGGGACCAAGGCTCCCGGATAATTCGTTGATACCCGCTTGGATTTACTCGAGCGGGGCTTCAACCAGATGATGAAAATGGTTGAGGATTCCCTCAAGAAACTACTGGAGATGGTAGCAGGGGAAGTCCAGCGCCTGATGCCGGCACAGCCAGCACGCCAAGCTCCAGCGCCGTTGCACGTCCAACCTGCCCCCCCCACCGAGGACCCCTCCCCGGGCCTCTCCTGGGAATGTGGTGCCTGCACAACCCGACCGGGAAGTGCATCGACCCACGGAACCCCTGGAGGCGACGCTTGATGGGACTCCCGAGAAACTGCTTTTCTTTGTGGTTTGTGCCCAGAAATGTGTTGTGAATTGGGGCCACCTGTTTCCCGATGAAGAACGCCGGGTGGACTATATCGCATCCCGGTTAAGAAACAAGGCAGCGGACTGGTACGTGGGTCTGCACAACACCGACGGGCTGGAGCTCTGGTCGGTGGATGTTTTTATGTGGGTTCTCTGTGCCCAGTACGAGGACCCGAATGCTGGTGAACACGCTCAAGCATTAAAAAGCACCTTCAAACAAGGCAAGCTGTTGGTTCAAGCGTACACTGATGTTCAAGCGCTAGGCTGCCAAGATTCGGGGTTGGCCCAATGAAGTACTAGCCGAACAGTACCGCTTAGGCTTACACCCTGAGGTCCAAGAGACGGTCCTACGCAGTGTCCATCCAGTGTCCCTCAATGCGTGGATACACGAGGTAGCAGATGCGGAGATCCGATTGAGGACCATCAAGATTGATAACGTGACCACCGTGGGTAAGTCCATCCTGGCCTCGCCAAAACTCCTCAACCGAAGAAGGAGGGGGTGCGGGATCAGCGGATGAAGCAAGGCCTGTGTCTCAAATGCGGCTTGGAAGGGCCACTTTGCAGTCGATGGCCCGCCTCCTGGCTAAGATGTTCCTTCAGCACATCTTCCGCCTCCATACTTTGCCAGGGAAGATAATCTCTGACCGAGGAATGCAATTTGTTTCTAAGTTTTGGGGAGAACTAATGAAGCTGCTGGGGGTGGAAAGTGGGTTCAGTAGCGCTTACCACCCCGAGACTGATGGGCAAACGGAACGTATAAATCAGACCCTTGAACAATACCTCTGGTGTTTCACTAACTTCCAACAGGATGATTGGGAGGGTCTCCTTCCCCTGGCTGAATTTTGTTATAATAATCCCTGTCATTCATCCACTGGTGTATCTCCTTTCATGGCAGTTTATGGTTATGAGGCCCTGCCTCTCCCGTTCCTGTCTGACGAACCACTCCCGGAGGGCGAAGTGGGGGAATGGTGCCAACGCCTGAAAAATGCCTGGCCAGTATTGTGTAAGACTTTGGACGCTGCAAAACAAGCCTACAAGGTTCAGGCTGACAAGAAACAGTCTGACTGCTGGGATGTCCAACCAGGGGACTCTGTCTATGTGTCTACCAAAAACATTAAAGGACTATATCCCAGTTGAAAATTGGGGTGGAAATATGTGGGGCCGTTTAAGGTTATACGTAAGATCAGTTAGGTGGCTGTGGAACTCGACTTGCCTAAAAACCGGAGACATTTGCATTCCGTTTTCCATTTCAGCCTTCTCCGCCGTGATCCTGGGCCAAATGTGTGGCGGCCACAATGACCCTGCCCTCCTGCCCTGCTCGTGGCAAGGCGAACCGCATCATGAAGTTGCAGATATTTTGGACTCTAAGCTAAAGCAAAATAAACTGTTTTAGTTGGTTGAATGGCTTTGGGCCACAACACAGAGAATGGGTGGCGGAGGAACATGTTTCTGCCCCCCGCCTTCTCAAACGCTTCCACTGGCGGTTTCCGGAGAAACCTGGGAGGGGTCGTTGGGAGGGGCAGGATGTCAGGTAGCCCTGTCATGGATCTGGAATGTGTGTGTGTGTGGGGGGGTTTCTCGTTCTCAGCTCTACCCTGTCCAGCCACTGTGCGCTATCTCAGGCTTGACCTTGTAGTCTCCAGCTGCAATTAATCGGCTGGGAATGCAATGGCTTTTTGCTAAGATTGCTTGCTTGCTTTGCCGCACACGCAAACTATAACCATTGGCTTCTGCTCATTGGGGGAGGATGTTTGATTTCACTATAAGTCAGAGGAGTAGTAGTAAAATTTATTGTGTCGCCAATGGCCATTACAATTTAAAATTTAAAGAATACACAAATTAAGAGAACTTACAGCACTGGAATTTGAATTAAATTTAAAATATAATAAACTCTAAAATCTGCAATTATAAGTCAGAGGCCCTTATACTGAAGGCAATTCCTGACACAAGCTGTGTACGTGATCATTAGTACTGGATCCATCAATAAATACTTACCTTCTTATGAAGTCCTGTGTGGTGTGACCTGACTAACGACCCTGGCACCAGGTAACCCTGCAATATGGGCAGGGTCGTCAGGAGGGCCCCTCTCTTCCTGAGATCTTAGTTCCCAGACAGGCACATGTGGAAGAAGACCGTCCTTCAGACACCCTGGTCACAAGCCATGTGAGACTTTAAAGGACAAAACCAATACCTTGAACAGGGCTCAGGAGTAGGTTAGCAGTCAGTGTAATTGCTGTCATATTGGGGTCAGATGCTCCTGGCAGGTGGCCCTCACCGGCAGTCTGCCCACAGCATTCTGCACTAGCTGCAGCTTCCAAACACTCTTCAAGTATAGCCACGAGTAGTGCACATTGCAACAGTCCGGTCTAGCTGTAGCTAAGGCACGGACCACCATGGCTAGATCTGACTGAACCAGGAACGGGCAGAGCTGATGCACCAGCCGAAGCTAAGCAAACGCACTCCCAAGCACAGCAGCGGCATGGTGGTCTAAGGCGATTGCTGTGTCAAGTAGCAGTCCCAAGCTGCAAACCTTGCTTTTCAAGGAAAGCATAACCCCATCCAAGACAGGTGAGACCTGAAGTCCCTCGTCTGCCTTCTACTAACCTACAGAACCGCTGCCTTGTCAGGATTAAGTTTCAACTTGTTCATGCCCATCCAGCCCATTACTGCCTCCCAAGCACCAGTTCAGGACATCAACAGCATCCTCTGAATTTCAGCAAAGAAAGGGAGAGCTGGGCATCATGTGCATATTGGTGACACTACAGCCCATTCCTCCCATACCTCCTCTTCCAGTGGCTTCCTATGGATATTAAATAGCATGGGGGATAAGACGGAACTCTGTGGCAGCCCACAGGTCCATGGCCATGGGGCAGAGTAGGAATCTTCCAGCGCTATCTGAGGAGGAGGTTGGATTTATACCCCGCCCTTCACTCAGAGCAGCTTACAAACCCCTCTCCCTTCCCCTCCCCACAACAGACACCCTGTGAGGTAGGTGGGGCTGAGAGACCCCTCTCGAGAACTGCCCTTTCAAGGACAGCTCTGACAGAACTATGGCTTGCCCAAGGTCATCCAGCAGCTGCAAGTGGAGGAGTGGGGAATCAAATCCGCTTCTCCCAGATTAGAGTCCGCGCACTTAACCACTACACCAAACTGAGACCAATCCCCCACATAGGATTTGAACTACCGTAACACGGTGCAGAGAAGCAGCTCAGTGGGATGCTATGCTCAATAGTATCAAAGGCTGCTGAGAGATCCAGTGGAACTCACAAGGTCACATTCCCCCTGCCTAGTTCTCAACAGATGTCATCAACCAAGGCAACCAAAGCAGTCTTTGTTCCAAAACTGGGCCTGAAGCAAGACTGAAATGGGTCCGGAAGATGAGTCTCTTCCAAGAGCTCCCAAGCCCTGAGGAGCTCAGGCCAAACTGAGCTTGTATGTCTGTCTATCCCAGATGTTTCAAAAAATCCTTCTATAGAGACTTTTTCAGCAATGGAGTTTTGGAGATATATGGAATATTTCTGCGTAATGCTCTGCCCAGCATTACTAACAGAAATCACCATTCTGTATTCTCGGTGATACTGGCTGGAAATTACGAGGAAAAAACCACCATTTAAAATATCTAACCCACTTCTATTTTTAGTTTGTATCCTTCAAATAACATGGCTAAAGTAGAAAAGATCTGGGTGACAGAAAAAAGCAATTTCAGTTCTGCAAAGCAGAAAGGAAAAGGAAAGTTAAAGAACAATATGCTGTTAAATCCAGGTTTTTATTAAAAAAATTCAGACCTGAACCAAAAATACCATATGAAACCTCTGTGTTAAAGAAGGGGGAAATCTCCAAGATAAAAGTTGCAATCCCAAGAACAATCCCTGGAAGTAAGCCCCACGGAGAAAAATGGAACTTACTTCCAATTAGATCTGCTTAGGATGTCTCTCAAATTCTTGCAATTTCTTTAGATGTTCATCTGTCTTTTTATTTCAGTGTCTTCCCCATATATTCTAATGCTTCTACTCCACATGTGAATTTTAAATTTGAGGTCATCTATAATTCTTCAGTGACGTCAACCAGCTTTTGGCTACTGCAGGTGGAGCTTGAACGGGGAACTTAACGACAGATGACTGGACTCCTTCAGTTCCATGCCAGTTAGGATTCGTTCTCTCTTTTTAATCCAGAGGCACCGCTTCAACGATCGTACATCGAATGTGGTAGATTCCCAAGGCACAGAAAAAAGCCTGGAGATTGTTCCTCTTTATCTTTTTTCTTTCTTTCAGTCCCAAAGGTATACACTTCTGGAACCACAAGAACCAGGGAAGCTGGAAAAATATTATCTATGTACTGTTACATCAAACAACAAAATAACAGCAATCCCTTGAAACCGAGCCATAGCAGTGATGAAAAGGTAAAACTACAAAAAATATGCAGAGAGCTTGTTTTGTACGAGTTCCTAATTTTGTTTGCTTCTACATTCCAAAGTGTGGATATGCTTTTTTCTCAAATCCCTATCAGGACAGACTTACAGAGGTTGTTGTTTTTTTTAAATCACCTGTGTTTATGGCATTTGCTGATTGGAGGGAAAAGTTCAGAAGCTGGACCTTCTGCCCCGACTACTTATCAGCTATTCCACGGATCAAGGTGTGGTCCAAAGACCAGCCCAACGGGCCAGGATCCCCTTTTGAAACTGCCTTGGACAGGGTTTGATGATCACCCCCCTTGCTTTAGCAACTTGTGGTGCTTTTCATCTGTTTTAACAATGCTGCCCCCACAGGCATCACTGTGCCCTACCCAGACTTTTGGAACCAGTTATCTCTCGCCTGTGCACTCTGCATCCAGAACCTCAGAACTGTTCCCTCTTGTTCAGGACCGCTTCAGCAAAAGTGACCCGGAGAACTGCCCACACATTGGAAACGAGGGCCGGAAGGGAGACTTTAAATTCCCACCCACAACCAGGTAACTGCAAACAGTAATTACACACACACACATATGGCAATGTACAGAATATTGTAAGAAATATATTCTGCAATAAGATTCAAAATTACACACACACACAAAATCAGAGGAATAAATTAAAAAATAAAACGCCATCATCAAAAGAAGGAAACAGACTCAAACGCCAACAAAGCAAGGAAGTAACTTCAGTACGTGGCCCAAAGCTGGATTTTTAAAGTGAAGTGTCTGAGGCCAGGGTCAAAGCCTGCTCCCTCTCCTGGTGAAATAATCTTACCAGATTTGGCAATTGGTCCACCTTCTTTTGCTTCTCATCTCTTCATTGGGGCGATTAGCAGCACTTGACCGAGCCCCTCGATAGCCTCCCCAACCTTCCGCCGACACACCTCCTGCCGCTGCTTCAGCTCAGCCATCAGTCCGACTTTTCTCTTCCGCAGCTCACTGATTATGTGGGCTGCAGTGACTCCTTCCCCAACAGTTCTCTTCGCCTCTGGCAGGATGGAAACAGTTTTAATGGTGTGCGAACGCTTCCCTGTAAATACAAGTCTGTACGGGCCATGCACTCCATCAGCTCCACAGGGACTACTCTGGCATTTAAGATCTGATAGTTTCCGCCTCACAGTTTCTTGTGCTCTTTGGACAATCCTGCAGAATTCCCTTTCGCCCAGCAGTTCTCGCTTTTGTACTCCAGCCTGTGAAGAGGAAACAATGACCAGGTCACGTTCTGCAAGACAGCAAAGATAAAACCAGATCTTCATTGCATGAGCTGGCGGATGGGGACAGTTCCGTGGAAATCGGGGTGCCATAGGAAACCAAATCTACAACTGTCATCTTTGCCCTTTTCCCTCCCCTGTGGTAGTAACTGAGAATAAATTTACACAACAAGAATTTAAGAGATGGTGTAAACTACAAAATGTAGACACCAAACTCACCAGATTCATAAATCCCATCTCACCCTTCTGTTATGCAGCAATCAAATGAAAGACATGGTTAAGAGATTTCACCAGAGGCAGCAATACACACACGAAGCTGCTTAAGCACATTACAGGAAACTGTACAGACTTGTACACAATAGCTAAGCACATGTGTGATAATATACCGTAAGTTTGGTGTAGTGGTTAGGAGAGCCTGTTTGGTGTAGTGGTTAGGAGTGTGGACTCTGATCTGGGAGAACTAGGTTTGATTCCCCACTCCTCCACATGCAGCTGATGGCATGACCTTGGATCAGTTACAAGTTATTTCAGAGCTGTTCTCTCAAGGGCAGTTCTCAAAAGAGCTCTCTCAGCCTCACCTACCTCACAGGGTGTCTGCTGTGAGGAGAGGAAGTGAAGGAGATTGTAAGCCGCCTTGAGACTCCGAGTGAAGGGCAGGGTATAAATCCAACTCCTTCTTCTAATATATTTGAGTGAAATATCAAGGACATTCACAAAAACCAACAAATGTGCATCTCTGTATTTAATAAAGTAACCCCAGGGAATGATACCACAGTGCAGGCACACAGGGGGACCTAAGGCACCATCTGTCTGAATGAGGAGGGGTGTCCATGTGATGGGGATGGGAAAGGCTGTCACAGGGCAGTTGACTTGCAGTGGCCCTGTAGGGCTTTCAAGGCTGAAGGCCATGGCCTGCCTCTGCGTGGCGACCCTGGACTTCCCATCTAAGTGCTACCCAGCTCCGGCCCTGCTTAGCTTCTGGGAACGGACGCAGGTGGGGCTCACCTGGGCCATCCAGGTCAGGGTATGCGTGTGATACTCCAAGTCCTTCATTAGAAACACTTAGAAACACTGTGTGTGTGTGTGTGTGTGTGTGTGTGTGAGAGAGAGAGAGAGAGAGAGAGAGAGAGAGAGTGGTTTCTAAATTTGGAAAATAAAAGAGCAAACTTTTCACATTTAATATATACACGAGAAAAAAATTATTTGTAATTTAGGAGCGGGGTAAAAAAAAACTAGGTCTCTTTTACAGGATCTTCCCCCCCTCCCTCCCGCCATTTTACAATTCTCTGCAAGCCTTCAACTGCAATAGCGAATGGTTCTGAGACCTGCCCAGTTAACTCCCTTTGGACCCTTGAAGTTCACTGTCATCAGGCTCTGCTGAAGTGAACTAAATCGGACTGACCTACATTCTTTCGGTACGGCTTCACTTCCTGCATCCAGGGGGAGTCCCCTTCATACTATTTGCTGACGTTGCCAAAGGTCTCCCCATAAGCTTCCCTTCTTGGTAAAAGGAGGAGGAGTCCTTACTGCTGCTGCCTACTTGGGACCCTTTTAGCAGGTGGCCTTCCTGGTTCTAGTCTTCCTCAGGTAAATTGGCTCCCTTGCTGTATTTAGGGAGGACAGCTTGTTTTTTTCTTTTGGATAGCTCATCACATCAAGAACATAGGCAAAGGGGAATCTTCCCAAGCAAACGAATCATTGTAGTTACCTGACGGTTTCTTCTCTTCAGTGGGGGAAGGCATCCACACGGGTTAGGTCACGCCTCCACTCGCTCCAGGCAGGGCTATGCAAATTTTTGTATGTCTTCCTTGGACCCAGTGAGGGCACCCTTCCAGACATAGAATAGCCTGGCCCAATAAGGTCCTTGAACTTACTCAACGCCTTAAGTTGCTTAAATCACACCAACCTCTTTATTGATATAGGTCTATGCCAAAACTTTGGGCGGGAACAAAACGCGTATGACGAAGGAGCACTATGCTCTTATGTCTATGTGCCATCTTGTATTCTGAACTATTTATTGGTGTATAATTGAGACAGCAATGTATTATTTTAACTGCTTTATCTGTTTTTGATTGTTGTAAGCCGCCCTGAGCCAGTGTGCAGGGGAGGGTGGGATAAAAGTCTAATAAAATAAATATAAATAAATAAATGTTTTGGGAGCAAGAGGCTCCTATTCAAAGCCCCTATTGTTATTCAGATACACATTGGAAAGCAGAAGGCTGTGGGGCTGCAGAAAGCTGATTTCAGCCAGAAATGGGCCGTTCTTAACAGAAGAAGAAAACAGAACCCTTTGAATGGTGTCTGGGTCTCAGGTTTGAACCTGGTTGCTGGAAAGAAAGAACCGCACTGCGAGTAGAGTGCCCAGACACAGTGAGTGAAAGCCCAGCCATTGTGTACTTAAATTAGTTCGCTTGCATTGTAGATTGTAAGCTTTGGAATCCTTGTGAGACTCGGAATGCCTTTAGAAGACAGGGAAGGGAAGGCGCCGAAGTGAAGCACATCCACACAGAAAAATATAGCCAAATGTTATCTGCAGTTCGACAGAAGGCAAGATCAAAAAAGTCCAAATAAGTAAATAAGGATCTCCTAGTCTTCTTAACTAATACATTTGGTTTTAAAAAGAACAGTGTCGAGCAACTGAAACAAATCCTTAATTGAAATATGCCACAAATAAGGAAATGGGGGAAGGTCGAAAGAGAGGAAAATAGAGAGATGCCAAATGTGTAGGGCAAAACACAGAAATTCTTCTCAAAACAAACAAAAAAAAGCAACCCAAAGGAAGGAAAACCAAGCCCCACTCAAGATGCAAAGGTTTGTATGTGAAGGAGGAACACTCTGCAGAAAGGAGACACTCCAGTGCTGGCATCTCTTTTTACACTGTAGAGAACAAGAATAGGGAGAACAAGAGAGCATCATACTGAGACAGCAGGAGCCAAGTCCTCAGAGGGGACCCACACCCAGTGGAGGGTGAGCCGTTAACTTCTCATCATACTGAGGATACACATCTAGTAAACGAGTGGCATCCCTCTAGCTTCCAGTGCCTATTGACTTCGTTGGCTTCACCGAGCCTGAAGGTTTTGCCAAACTGGTGGTGGCAGGGACCTATCTGTGCTCTCCCTACCTCAGACAAAGCGCTCAAAGCCGCATCTGTCCACCCAGCAACATTTCAGCCTCCCCGTCCAGTATTTCCAAGCACAACATTATGGAAAATAGAGGGGGAAAGGTGGACAGGAGATCTGAGCAGCTTAAGCAGCAAAGCTGTCTGCTCAGGAGCTGGGAAGGAAGGAAAGATCTGTTCTTCTGCACTGTCCTTTGTCTGGAGGTCTCTGCCCTTGGCCCAAAAGGTGGCAACTGCCTGCGCAGCACGCCAAGCAAAGGACGCCGCAGGACACAGTGAGCAGGAGGGCACCTTGCCAGCCTCCCAAACACAGCCCTGTACAGATGCCTCTCTGGTATTCCCCTGAGGCCGTGTGCCTTTGAGGGCAAGGAAGCACCGCGTCCCCCTTTGGGAAGGACACAGGCACAACCTGCCTCCTTTCCTGAGCATTTCGGTTCCCTTAAAACTGGCACGCCCCACGTCGACAATTTAAGACAATCTACATTTTTCATTTCCTTCATTTACACCCTGCCTTTCTCCCCAATAGGGACCCAAAGCGGCTCACATTGTTCTCCTCTGTTTCTTTTTTTTTTTGGTTAAAAACTTTTATTTTTCCGGAAATAACAAGTTCAACACATTTTCCATTTAACCAAAAGGAACCCTTATTCCCTCCTCCCTACTTCCTCCGGTGGCTTCCCGCAATGCGTTCCCCCTTTTTATTTTTAAATTGCAATATAACTCAAGATAACATAGTTTAACTTAATATTGTTCTAAACATAGTAAATTTTGCTTTACATCCCAGTTTTTCTCTAAATATGTTTTAAAGTCATTCCATTCTTTGAGGTAGGTTAGATCTTCTTTGTTGTTCATTGTTCTCCTCTGTTTCATTTAATCCTCACAACAAGCCTTTGAGGTAGGTTAGGCTGGGAGTGTGTGACAGGCCCAAGGTCACCCAGCAAGCTTCCATGGCACCAGTGGGGATTCAAACCTGGGTCTCCCAGATCCTAGTCTGACGCTTTAACCACTACACCACATTATAGGACATTATGCTCACAAGAACTGCACAATGCCTGTAGTTAATGTTGGCCTCACTTCTGTCACAGGTACACAATCGAAGAAGCAGAAGGGATTGGATTTATACCCCGCCCTTCACTACCCAAAGGACTCTCAGAGTGGCTTACAATCCCTTTCCCTCCCCCTCCCCACAGCAGACACCCTGAGAGGAAGGTGGGGCTGAGAGAGCTCTCGAGAACTGCTCAAGAGAGAATAGCTCTGAGAGAACTTGTGACTGACCCAAGGTCACACCAGCAGCTGCATGTGGAGGAGGAGTGGGGAATCAAACCTGGTTCTCCCAGACTAGAGTCCGCGCTCCTAACCACGACACCAAACAGGCCAGAACCCCCGGAAAACACCAGAGATGCCTCTTCGGGGCTTCCTGGAGGATATTCCAGAGCCAGCAGTCTGCAGATTTAGCCTGGCTCACTCTTCCTTCCTGACCTTTGGCTGATGGGCCCTAAATACATCACAGGTGGGGCTCAGCGGTGTCGGTCTGGAGCAGCAGAACAAAGTCCGAGTCCAGTCAGGCACCTCTGAGACCAGCCAAGTTTTATTCAAGGCGCGAGCTTTTGTGTGCAGGCACAACTTCCTCAGATACACTTCCTGCCATGGATGCACGGACTGGTAACTTCCATTTCAATGTATCTGAGGAAGTGTGCGTGCCCACGAAGGCTCATGCCTTGAATAAAACTTCGCTGGTCTTAGAGGTGCCCAGCTGGACTCAAACGTTGTTCTAAATATATCACAGTTTGTTCTGTCAAATTTGTTAGCAGCAGGAACAGGGGAAAAGATGATTAAGTGAATTCTCTGATCAATGTCATGTGACTCAGGTCTTAGGATGTCTTTTACAGAAGTGGGGGGGGGGGGACAAACAGAGGCCAAAAAACAGAATTCTGACCTCATTAAATGGCCTTCTGGTCCACTCTTACCTTTCCTTGGCAGCTCAGTTTTCTGCATCTTAGGAGTTCATGCACGGTGTCACTGAGGGCCAGCAGATCTCTCTTGCATCTGTCAATTTCTTCCGCCATTCTGACCACACTGTGGCAAGTCAGGCCAGAGTTTGGTGGAACAGTGCGTTTGTGACATTCACTGTGAGGTCCTGGGTCTTCCACTTCAGGATCCAAAACAGACTCCTGAGGGAGAGGAGGGAGGGGGGAATTCTCAAAGGTTCATTAATCTCTTTTGTGGCCCTCAGCTTGAGAGAAGACCTTGTTATCATACCTGACCTAGAGAATGATACATTCTAAAATAAGGTGAGATTATATCTGTTAGTCAAGCACTATGCAGCTCTCCAGAGACACAGATTCTCTTCTCAGAAAATACACGAAGGAACCTCCTTTCCAGCAAAAGGGCTCGCTATGCACTTGCACATGAAAATGGGGCTGCATCTTCCCTGAGAACAAGGAACATGAGTGCACCAAGGAATAGAACATCTGCACTGGAACAGCACCAGCAATACACAGCAGTGTCTGTGTCCCAACAAGCTTATCAACCGTGGCCAGCCCCACCCACCAAATTGTGTTTTGTTTTGCTGCTGGGACCTGAGCCGGCCCCACCTAGTAGGTAGACTGGGCAGAGACCGACACAGATTATACAAACCAAACTGGCAACCAAGGAGCGTATGTTCCTCTGGTCTTCCCACTTCTAAACTCATTTTCATTCTTGGAATCCAAACTCTGGCCCACACCTCAGAGCCATCTCACAGGGGGCAAGCGAGCCAGCAGGCGTGGGCACTGGCACAGTCTCCCTCAGAAACGACTTCACGGGGACCCAGGAAGGTGCCTTGGACTGAGCCAGACCACTGGTTTATCAGGTCAGTCTTGTCTACTCAGACGGGCAGCAGCTCTCCACGGTGGCAGGCAGAGAAAGGTCTTTCACATCACCTGCTACCTTCTCGTTAAGACTGCAGATGCCGGGGATTGAACCTTGGACCTTCTGCAGGCCAAGCAGATGTTCTACCACCGAGCCACAGCACCTCCCCTACTTCGCTTTTTAAAAACTTTGTTTTTGAGCCACGATACAGCAGAAAGTTTTCTGGTACACCATCAAATTAAGCCGTCACCTTGCGCCCATGCCGGGTAAGACTCCACTAGAGCATCAGATGCTAATGCATCTCTCTGACGCAACGATTAGCAGCTCACAACAGCAAATCATCCCAACTACGTGTGGTTTGCAGTGTGTGCTTTAATGTGGTGCCCTGGTTAACGACAGAAATTATACCCAGTGACTGCTGAAACCAGAGGAAAGTTCATGCAGCGAAATGGCAGAGTGCTAACCACTGTTTCCTCCAGCTGGATTTCTGCTCTGATCTCTGGGGGAACGGCTGAGAGAAACCTGAGCTACAGATGTGCCTGAAAATAAAATTTTTATGCTTACTAATTCAGGAAAGCAGAAGAGAGATCTTTGTTCCTTAAATCACCGAAACAGGCAATGGTTTGCTAATTAATGAAGTGTAAAAACAATTGCTGGTAGTATTACTTAGCTTCTCGAATTCACGGTAAGTATTTAAATTAGGTATTAACAGAGTTGAGAAAGTCCAGGCTGTGGTCTCTGGTTCCTAAACTAACACTCGCCCTTAGAAATCTTCTAGCTCCTTAAAAATTCCTAGGATTTAAAAATATTTGACAAGCCTTTATTATGAACCTTATAGACAACAAGGCTCCGTGTAACTCAGCACACGTGTTTTTAAATTTGGGATGCATTTTATGAGAAAATACTTTACCTCAATACTATGTAGAAGAAACTTATCACTAGATGCCACAAGTTTTAAATACTCACTATGCGAAAACAATTTCCAACAGCCGAAAAAGTATTGAAGGGTCATATTTAAGCAGAATGGATATACTTGTTCCTCATGTTACCTTATTGATTTTTAACATAATCCAGTGCCATTCGGGGAAATCTGCAATTCCAAATATGCTACCCAACTGCAGTTTCAGGCAGTTCCCAAAATTTAGTGCCCTGTAATTGGTACTGACATTTAAGCATCTCTCTTTGGAAAAGCCATTTGGATTATAGCAAACTACATATTGCCATATTTTAGAAGGCCCCTAATGCTGCTCCCGGAAGACAGAGAAATCCCTGCCACCGAACAGCAGGGAGGCAAATCAGAGATCTGAAGGAGGGGGATTTTGCTAACAGAAATTTTCACTGGAAATCAAAGACAATGGGGATGTAATCTAAGTGCCTTATAACAAAGGCTCCTACTTAGGTTATCATGGGGTAGAAGAGATCCCACAGAGCATTTGTATACCACCCAATGCAGGCATAGTCTTAAGGCACAGAACCAGCCAGAATATACTTTGATGGAAAGGGCATGAATATTTAACTGCAGCTTTGGTATCACCCCCCCCCCCTATCAACAGAAATGGCAGTTTATCCACTGTCTTAAATCTACTCCACTCCAACTTCTGAATTGAATTTCACGGTGTGTGTTGCAAGAGCACTCACCCACCCATCTGTGAATCTGTCTGCTGAACTGCTCCCACAGGAAGACAATTCAGCTGCATTCACAGTTACCACAAAGCATCTCCGTGGAAATTTTCCCTTGCCTCATCCCTACATGGCTGCCATTTCCCCCTGCTACCAGGCTTTGTGTGAGAAAAAAAATCAGTAAAAGGCACAGGATCAATGTAGCAGTTCCCAGCTTTCATTTAAAAAAGTCACGTCTCTAGCCCTTTTGGTTGCAGAGATATAAGGAGAAATGTGCAGCCAGTAGGGTGGATCCAACAGTGTTTCTGCTGATGCCAGCCTTCCACCCATGAAGTTTGACATCCAGATTTCTCCTCTCCGGTGGCAGCCCCAAATGCTACCCTAAAACCTTCTGGAAGAGAGGGACCCTCAGAGGCAGGATTTCAGGGGATGTTCCGGGCTGCTGGGGGGGGGGGAGGAGGAGAAGAAGAGAATGAATTTATACCCTGCCCTTCACTACCTGAAGGAGTCTCAGACTGATTCCCCACAAGCAGCTGTGCTGCCCTTGCTCTTCCATTTGCCCCAGCTGCATTGGTCAATTTCACACTATTCGCTCTCCCCCCCCCCAATTGCTGCTCAAAAAAACAAGGATTGAGAAGAC